CTTAGAGAAAACTGACCTAAAAATTAACTCAAACCATTCTCCAACCAAATTTAATTCTTAAATTATTTAATACTTTAATTATAATACTCACTCGATATATTATAAAGTGGCATCAGAATTAATTTAAACGCTGATGTTCGTGTTAAGACAACCAACATCAATAACGAAAAGGACAACAACAAACACCAAAATTGCAACATGACATAAAACGAATATTCCATTACAACATCAAGTACATACCCATGGAAATATTTTACATAACGCGCACTTTCGGTTACGAAATTAAAAATCAATTATAGATTTAATGATTTATGGGGGTTTCGGCTTTTAACCTGGACACTTTCGATTTTCTTTTATGATTATGGCTTTGGTTTTTCCACCGAGTTTTCACTTTTCGTTTCGTTGGGTTTCCGCTTCGATTAAAAAATGTGGACTTGTGTGGCTGTCGGATGGAGTTTTCTTGGTCAGCGTGTGAAATCGGATATATATTTTTGGAGCTATTGTCTAATGAAGCTTTCTGTCCCTCGGTCTTTGTCTGGGTCTGTGTGGGACCTATGGGTGTTAGTGGTAGGCAGTAGTAGGTGGGAGACCTGGCAGCAGATGGCGGCGGCAGGATCCTGGCCCTGGCTAAGGTTCTGGCTCAGACTCAGCGTCTCCTCCGCTGGTGGTGAGCGAGTTTACGGGAAAGCGCAGCACCAAGCGCACTAGTTGACGCCTAAACGTCTACTACGAAATGCGTTTGTTGTAGCGAACCCCAATTTCGAAAAATTCCAAATGGCGGCACACACAGACACAGATGCCCACACACACACAGACAGGCGCCCGGGCAGAGCAGCAGCTGCGCAGCATCCTTGCTCGCGTCTCTCAGTCGCAGTCGCTGCTGCTGGTGATTTATGTACAAAATGGCAAAAGGCAAAAACAAAATAATACAAAATACGCTCACAGGCACAGTTACACACACACAGCTACAAGCGGGCAGCCACAGCATCCAGCTCACACACACACCAATACAAACGCAGACGCTGAGACTTAATCCCAATAGTGTCCTGCCACGAGGGGTGGTGGCGAGCTTCTCTCGTGCACCTCGTCCTGCGTCCAGTCCCGGGTCTGGTCCTCTCTATTACATAGTTACTTATATACTTGGGTCGATCCTGTATCTGTGTGTGAGAGCTGTTGGTGTGAGTGTGTATCTGTATCTGTGTGAGAGGCTGGATTCGACAAGCAGACTGTTGCTGCCGGCTTTCGCTGTGAGTGGAAGCTTCTTTCGAGTGAGCCCTGGGAATCGAGTCAGAAGCTCTCTGCTCGAGTAAAGGACTTTTATTTAAAAATCGAAAGCTAATGGTTTTTTGAAACATAAACAATATACTATAATAATTGTGTCAAATAAAAAGGGACTTCGTAAGTTTAAAAAACTTTAAATATGTTATTTATTGTATTACCCAGAACATCTTTATGTTTGGTATAATTATCATGAATGATTTAAAAAATAGAATTTGCAATACTACAAATATTAAAAGTTTATTATAAAATGTATATTTTTGTTCATCTCTAAACTTTCATGTTTAAAGTATGTATTAAAGTCCAGCTAGTACCAGCTAAGCTCTACAGCTCTATAAACCACCTAATCCAAAACCACAATTTACAATGCACCGTGATGAAACATATTTTATTATAAATTGTGTTATGATAATAAAAACATTATTGCAACAGCAAATATAAACCCCTACCATTTTCCAGATTCGTAAACCTCATTCTAGTGTACTGTAGCCCCTCCCGAACTTTTACTCAAAGTTCACTCGAATGGAGTGACTTTCGTGTCTGTATATAGCCAGGATGCTGGAGGAAGGAAAGTTTTTTGGTATCTCTGGCTCTTACCTTCGAATACCAAGGTGAGAGGATACTCTGCCAGCAGAGATAACAGCAACTACAACAACGATAGCCAGCAGCAGAAACAGCAACATTAGCAGCAGCAGCAGCAAAAGCAAAAGCAGAAACATAATAAAAATCCATTTTTATAGTCCCGACAGAGGAAAGCAACCCCTCCCCTGCTGAGGCGGAAAAAAAACAGATTTTCTGGGATGCAAAGGAGGCGAAGTGGGGTGCCTCAGAGGGGTGGACAGGGAGGGTGTTCTGGATGATGTTTCAGCTGTGGCAGTGGAAGTAGCAGTGCCAGTAGTAGTAGTGGTGGTGGTTCCCAAAAAATTCTAGAAATTTTACTGCCTGCCTGCCAACGTCAACACAATTTTGAAGCTTTGCTTTTTTTGCTTTTGTTCGATGTTGCTGTTGCTGGTAATGTTGCTGTTGCTCCTGCTACTCCTGCTGTTGCTGTTGCTGCTGCTTGTGTTGCTGTTGCTCTTGTCACTGAAGTTGCTGTTGCTCCCGTTGTTGCTCCTGTTATTTTCACTGCTGTTGCTGTTATTTCTGTTATCGCTACCACTCCCCATGTTGCATGTCCTTTCGCCCATGTTGTTGTTGCTCCGGCCGAGCGCCGTTTGAGTGAGCGCGTGGAATGTTGCCATATGCCGCCATCTGTATGTACACCAATACATTAAACTCTTGATTTCTGTGCATGTGTATAGGTGTGTGTGGTTGGCGTTTTATGCTTGGTACAGTCGCTGGCAGCAGCAGCAACTTCTTCTCCAGCGTCAACGTCAGCAGCGGCATCATCAGCAGCAGCAACCACGACTGCGACGGCAACGCAAACGGCAGCAATAATGTCCGTCCGATCTGCCCAGACGAGCAGACTTTTGACTGTGCGGGGTAACCACTTTTTTGTGCTTCACGATGCTCAGGAATCGTGTTGTTATTGCTCTTGTTGTTGCTGTTGTTGGCTTTCCTTTGATTGCTAGTAAACAGGGTGCTGTTTTTTGTACCATATCCCTAGGCTTTGAGCTAGATAATTCAGAGAACCTAATGCTGGTAAAACTCAAATATAAGAACCTTAGTTGTGCTATTCGCTAAGCTTTTATAGGGAGTAGATCCTGGAATCACCCTGTTTTCGTCTATATTCAAGTTGAACAAGTGTGTAAGCACATAAACAGAGAAATGGAATTAAGTTTGCATAGCAAAAGAAAATAAACTGCTAAAATTATAATAACACGGTGACGCTGAAGGGACGGGGACGGTGGAAGGACATCAACAGCAACAACAACAACAACGACATAGAATGAAAACTAGTGTAAAACGGCAACAACAGAAACAGCAACAATAACACACCAAATTACACACACCTCCCACACCCACACCCACATACACAGGCTCACAGCAAGGCTGAAAGAAGCGAAAAGTGAAGAAAAAAAATAAACGAACTTGGTTTGTAATTTATAATATCCTTTGTCCTCTGCCGGCTTTTGTGTTCTGTGTTTTGTGAAAAGTGAAAATGTGTCTGCCTGTGTGTGTGTGTTCTTGTGAGTGTCACATACTTTTTGTGTCCAAACAGACACAGTTACAGGACTTGGCATTACTTTTGGCGTAGCTTCTTCGTCGTTTGTGTCGGGCAAATAGTTAAAACTAAAATAAATTTAGTTGTTGTGCTCCCGAGCTACCGCACGCACACACACACACACCCCCTATACTACTAACACTAACCAAGTAGACAGACAAAAGATAGCGCGGCGACGCCATCTTTGCTTTGGAGCTGCTGCTCCTTGGTTCTGGCGCTGATAAGTATGCTACGCTGGTTTCGCAGCCACTCTACTAGAGGCCAGCCACTGAAAGAAATTAAAAGACGTATTAAGTAATGATTGGGCTTAACTTTTATGATTTATTTATTTAATATTTCATTTTATTTTTAAAGTTTTTTAAGTTTGAAACCCTTTTTTTCTTTTCGTGCATCTTTCAGCTCCACCCGCCGCACGAAATCTCATTATATTTGTTTTATTTTATTTCGTGCCACGTCTTCGTCGTTTGCAGCAGCTTCTTGCCACTTGGACTGCTTCGTTTTGGCTTTTATGTCTATTTCCTATGCTTTTGGCCAGAAGTACTTTTGTGCAGGGCACGTAACTGACTCCGCTCCTGACCAAGCCCTCCCACTAGCAGGCCCACAGCATTGTAGTCTACTTACTTACTACTTAATGCGTGCTTAGTTATTGTTTTAGTGTGGACTTTTGTCTCGAAATTATTAACAATGGACGTTGCCAAGTGAAAGGTGCTCCTGGCTTTTGGTTGGCATGGGTTAAGGGGGATGGGTGGCCGTAATAGCATTTAATGCACCTGCTCTCCTGCCAACCCATACACCTGCAGTTAAGTTGCTTTGTTCAACTCGGGCATTGTCTTCTCACGCACACACTGACACACTCACAAACACAAACACTTCAGAGACACCATCATCGCCACCACCATCATCATCATCATCATCGTCCTGGGCATGATTATGTTGATTGTAAGCCGCTTTTAAAATGCTTCATTTTACGTGTGTTTGCTCATTATTTATTTACCTTTAGTAGCGCTTAATTTTCACTCATTGCCACAGCCCTTCCCATCCTTTTGTCCTTCCTCCCTCTGTTTTCACTCGTCCCCAACTGTTAAATTGCAAAACGTTAAGCTAATGATCTAATTTCATATTTATATCCAGCTTATTTCCATTTTATAATGGAGGCGCATTAAAATATTGAATTTTACATCGCCGCTCCTCCATATTTAATTTCCGATTCAACTGTTGAATGCTGTAAGCGCTTCAGGAAATTGTTGGTCTCGTTTTTGCCGAAACTGCCAACTAATTGGAGTTTGGCCCTCCATTTGAATTTATTTTGAGCGAGCAATTTAAATTAAAATGCAGGTACTAAATGCAAATATAATCGGCACAAGCTGCACTTAGGTTGATTAAAATAAACCTCGCTTAGTGGCAACTAAACAGAGCTTAGGGTAAATATTTACAACATTCTATTAATTAACCTCAGGTTTTGATGCGATTTTTTATTAAAAAAACAACCATTCAGCTTATATTTTGGTTTTTAATTTGGAAGCATTCATTTATTTAGTCAAAAAGTTGAGTCCTGGGAACTCGACTCGTTTTAACAAAATCGACAATCCGAGAGAAAAAACAACATGCTTAAAACGTCAAAATCGGCTTAGTATAAAATCTGCCCCGCAAAAAAAGACCAAAAAGACAAAATTATATTTCTCGGCTAACATCAACTTTATAAATAGCGGATCCCTGGTCAGGACCGCTCCCTATTTTATAGAGCTGAAACTCTGCAGCGGGATATAGCACAAATCTAACATATTAAGCACATACACAACATGGCCCAAAAGCAGGTGACGAACACCACGAAGATCCGCAATACATCTCTGAACCTCATAAACCAAGTGGTCGGTGGAAAGTATCACGTGCTGAAGGCCATCGGATCGGGCTCCTTCGGGGACATATACCAGGGCGTGAGCATCAAGGACGGGTCGGATGTGGCGATAAAGGTGGAGCCGTCAGACGCCAAGTATCCGCAGTTGATGTACGAAGCCAAAGTGTACGAGCAGCTGGCCGATTGTACGGGCTTTCCGGCCCTGTTGCACTTTGGCTGCGAGAAGAACTACAACGCGATGGTGATCGAATTGCTGGGGTCCTCGCTGGAGGAACTCTTCAACAAGTGCAAGCGCCGTTTCTCTCTAAAGACCGTCCTGATGCTGACCGACCAGCTGCTGCTGCGCCTGCAGTGCGTGCACGAACACGGATTCATCCATCGGGACATCAAGCCAGACAACTTCCTCATGGGCCTGGGCAAGAACAGCAACAAACTTTTCCTTATTGACTTCGGGCTCTCAAAGCGGTTTAAGGATATAGGCACGGAGCAGCACATCGCGTACCGCAAGGACCGCAACCTCACCGGCACCGTCCGCTACGCCTCCATAAACGCACAGCAGGGCGTGGAACAGTCGCGTCGGGACGACATGGAGTCGCTGGGGTACTGCATGATGTACTTCAACATCGGCAACCTGCCGTGGCAGGGCGTCACCGCCGCCACCAAAAAGCAGAAGTACGAGAAGATCCTGGAGAAGAAAACCAGCGTCTCGATCGAGGAACTCTGCAAAGGGTTTCCTGCGGAGTTTGCTCTGTACATGAAGTACGTGCGAAATCTCCGCTTCAAGGAGCCGCCGGATCACGTTTACCTTCGGCAACTCTTTCGCATTATGTTCCGCTCCTTGGGGCACCAGTACGACTTCATGTTCGACTGGAACCTTTTGGATATCCAAGAGAAGGAGCGTCAACGCCGGGAGCGGGAACGGCAAAAGGAGCAACACCGAATGTTGGACCGACTTACCTACGGACGCGAACGGGAGCGGGACCGACAGCGAGATCGAGAGCAGCGACGGAGCTCCGCTCAGTACACCGTACCACACTCCTACCGGCGAGTGTCCAGCAAATATGACCGCGACTGGATCGGTGATGGGACTCTCCCCAAAAAGTAGCGAAGATCGGGGGCAAGGTGGTCAGAGTTGCGGGGCAACGGCCACTGGTCTCCATATTATAGGAGAGTATCAAAATTATAATCATTCAATAGTTAATAGGGGTCTACGTTGGGACCCCCCGTTTTGGTGGAAAGTCATTTCGCAATCAGATCAGATCAGATTAATCCCGATCTTTAGAATTTACGAAGACTTGTCAAGAAAAATTTTTGTTTCCTATAATGGAAATTTTGGGCTGTTACTGCATGGGATTGTTTATTAAAATTATATTCTGTTAAAGTTCTTTAAACGAGTCTTCTGAGTGCCAGCATCAACATGTCCTCCCCATCTAGAATTTAATTATATCCATAATCAACGCAATTTATAATATTCTTTGGAAACTCGACTCGATTGAATAGTTTATAGCCAAGTTCCGCCTCCCCCCAGAAAGCTCTACGCCACTCTAAGTTTTCCATTAAGTGGGAACTTTTGCAGCGGGCTGGGGAGACAACTTAATAAACTGTCAAATTGTCATGTAAACGGGACAAAGCTGGCAACCGAAAGTTTTTTACCTCACAACCGTAGAGTCGACAAAAAACGAGGAGGTTGCGGGTTTATTTACGCTACTTATTTATTGAGTGTCCTGGCGAGGCGAACCTGGCCAGGAGGGAGAAACATTTGCCAGTTATGAGAAAACAAAATAAATTTTATAGTAGCAGCGGACCCTCGCTGAAAAAGGATATATAGTTGTGTCAACCGCAAAGGACATTTTATTAGTTTCTTTTTTTCGGTGGAAGCGAAAAAATAAGTGGAAAAGTTTTATTTTACTTTTCTGTACGTAGTACGTATTTGTGGGATAATGGCTTGGTTTAAAGATGAGGTCGCGACTTGGCACCTGCTGCCAAATTAAACCTCCCCTTTCTGAGACCTCAGATAGAGAAAGAACTGCAGAGACTTGGGCATGACAGACTGACAACTTCAATAATTTATGATCTAGCAGCCGAAAGGATAAAAAACAACGCAACGGAATCATTTTGCCATTTTGAGTAATTTTTCTTTTCATTCCGGGCACTCGTCCCCGGCTCTGCCGTTCTCCGGTTCCCGTGGAGCAACTTTTCCGGGCGCCCGAAAACAGAGAACTGAAAACGGAAAACATAATTAAGTGTTGTCTTGAGTTGGGCGCATAGTTGACATGACAAACAGTTGATGAACGAAGCAAAGTACGGGAAATTGCAAATTCCATTGGGGGAAAATAGTTGAGAGTCCCCTGGACCCGCGGACGGAAGGCTGATCTCCTTCCAGACTCGTCGGCTGGCTAATAAAGCGGTCTGACAAGTGGCAGTAGAAAACAAAAAGCCGGCCAGACATCGTGGAGGCTCCGAGTCCTTGATTTCCCGGCTTGCCACCGACACCTTTCGCGGATGCTGACAATGACAGTTGGCATGTCAGCATATGATAAATTGTTCAACCGGCAGGTGACTTGAGTCTCGAATGTTATGGAAACTCAGTCCTTTAGTCCTTCGGCAGCCCGGTGAAAGGGGTGCCAGTTTATGCCCCCTTTTGGGAAATGTAATTGCACATTTCGTTGAGTGAATGCTAAAATAGGTGTTTATTTAATTTGCCAAGTGAATGTGAATTTGTCTACGTGTATGCCACCCGACTCTGCGAGTTTGTCCAATTCGATGTGACAGTTTCCAGCATTTTGAACTCAAAAGGAAAATAGTTAGCAACGGCTGCCGAGGCGAGTGAGTGGCGTTGATGGAATATAAATGGGACGGCATGGGACGGACTAGAATGTAAATTGCCGAAGCCATTCAAATGTGAGCTGAATGCGGTGCCAGACATTTAAATGCATATTCCAAGGCTCTAAACTGAATTCCCAAGAACCAACCCACGGACAGCTTAAAATATTCCAGTTTAACGTAAAGCCTTCTACCCGGCGCGGCAATCAATAAAAAATAAAATGTATTGCAAAGTCATCAAACGAAATGAAAAACAAAAAAATAACGCCTTTTTCGATCAAAGCCGAGGCATAGATACTCTTGCAGATTTATTTAGGAAAGCCAATGGGTTACCTTTGCTAATGAAGTGCATGGCATTACTCCTCTCTGTGAATTTTTATCCAATTCATTATAGGCTTGGCTTAAAGGTTTTTAGATCGATTTTCTATCAATCTGCAATAAAACCCCAAAGCAAACAAATTTTAAAGATTTTGTCAAATATTCCGATGGGACTCCTTTAAAATGTGGAAGTTGTATGGGAAGTACCCATATTGGCCTCCGCAATATCTATTTATTGGCAATTTATACCCGTTTCATAGGTGTAACCTAATTCCACTTAAAATGGTTCAAATATTTGTTATGAAATTATGAATTCGTTTATTTTCACTTCATGAATTTATTTATTTTCAACATAAGAGACTTTGTAAACTCTCTCCTAGGGCATAAAAAGCAATACTTTTTTTAGGTTGTAACTACATACCTCCACCATTACAGCGATTATTTGAAGCCATTCATCCCAGTCAATGCCTCTGAAGTGTTGAGCTGAGAAATTGAAAAACTAATCTATCCGACGACTCCCACCGCAATGGTAAGCCATTAACATCAACAGTAAACTGGTGGAGGAGCACAATGGCCAGCTAGAGTGGAGCTGGCTAGAAAAGTTTTGCTGACTCTACTTTAGGCGAATTTATTTCCTGGGCCAACTAAAAAACGTGAAACGTGAAACGCACCGAGATAATGCCAAAACACCGCAGCTCCAAAAGCAGCTCTTAACTTTCAGCGGTGGTCTCAAAGTTTTCACTCAAATAATTGCTTTTACTGGCCCTAATAGATGAGGATTTTCGAAAGGGAATAGTGTGGTCCAGCAAGGCCACCCACAGAGTAGGGCCCCGGCCCCTTCCGATCTGCCGGAAAGCTACTGCATAATCCATTCGCCGAGATAAGTCGCAAAACACGAACCAAAGTGGTATGATTCTTGTGCTTTTTGTTCGCCGGTTGAAGCCGCAGAGGGATCTTAACTTACTTTGTTTCGTTTTTAGTTCCACATGCGCTCTGAATTATTTATCAGGAGTTTTTCGTGAGAAGGCGAGGTAATTGTGTGCAACGTGGCGTATACTTAATGCTGCCTAAGGCACGAGGGTTCATTAGTTTACCAACAGCTATTACTTCTCCCAGGTGTGCTTTGGCTAAAATCGATTTGAGAGGTAAAAAATAAACGGAATCCTTTGCAAACCACACTTACGATTTGTAATCGATTTCCCCAACTTTCCGAGAGAAATAAAAGTCCAACGGTCGTGGACCTTAAGCAGATTTCACCGTCGAGTGGTCGAAAATTGTCCGAAATGAAATGAAAAGTCCATCAAAGTGGTTGTAAAGCTAAAAGGGGGCTGGCCAAAAACCGCCAGCGCCATGGGTTGCCCAAACAAAGACACAGCATGGCATAGACACACGAATCGAATGTCATTAAAACGATGGCCCTGAGAGACTGAGGAACGGGTCTGACTGACTGAATGTCTGACTGATGCCAGCAAGGGAAACAGAACCCGGGATAAAAGGGGCATCATGTTGAGAGCTCATTAAAATGAATACGAATTTAATGGTACTTAAAGCGGAAATTGCCTGGCAAGTTTCCGCCATGCCAAGCGCACAAGCAGCCTCGACCGAAAACACCAAGCAATATCTATAGCTAGAGATACAGATACAGCTAGAGAAACAAGAACGGATACAGATGCGGAGAAAAGAGAAAGGCGGAGGAAAATCTAAGCCAACTTAGATCGAAGTGCCAAGCCAAGACAAGGGGCACAAACAACAGCACCATAGACTTTACGAGCTGAAAAACTATTAGTGCCAGCAGACAATACTCCACATGCAACAAAGCCACACAGAAAGAAATAGTACAGATGCTGGGTGCTGAATAAATAATAAATCAATTACAGGACGTAATGTTTCCTGCTTCCAATCACAATCATGTTCAATCGAACTGCACTGAATAGCTCGTCAATTATTTGAGAGTTTTTTTAAAAAAATCCAAAGGGGATTATATTTTCTTTTTTCTTCCATTTGCTACTAACTCAATTATTAATTAAATGTATTATGGTTTAATTAAATATTTCATGTGCAGCCCTGAAAAAACTCCCAGGGAAAAAATTCTGGAACCTGGAACCTGAGCAGGTGCTCAGCTAGGAGTGGCTCTTACTTTTCACTCTGCTGGCTTTCCTGTTCCTCTGTGCGCCAAATGAAGCCATTGCACACATATGCACAAAGCCAAGGACTATGGAGATGTTGGAAAACTAAAACGAAACTAAAACAGGACCAAGCTGAAGCGAAAAAATGAACCGAAACGGAAAAGTGGAATTAGTATCCATGGTGAAGACAGGATGCCCTAGAAAAGCGCAAATTAATTATAACAAGCAACAAAAAACCCTCTAGTTGGGATGATAACTTTTAATTAAAATCAGTACATAAAACCAGTAAATGTAAGCCCTGGAAACTACCAACCAACCATGAAATGATATCAATTGCAACTTGTAATATGCGCATCGAACAGAATATCGAATTTAAAGCGCTTTCTGTCCAATTTATTTGAGTTTTTGCTGAAACTTGTTTTGACAAACTTGCAATATTAATTTTTTCGTCCTAAACTGTCCGTAGAGCTCGAGGCTCTATGTTAACACATAAGAGTATCAAAGCGGGATTACAAAAAAGAGTTGGCTGACCATGCAAAGCGGAAACAGTGTGAAAAACTGCGACGCCATTTTGAGACGCACAAAAGTATGCTTTAATTGAATGTTTGTTGGCCTGCCACACAGCACAGACACACAACCTCTTTGCACACACACACAGGCACTCGTTTTCCGCACATATGCATGTCAGTGGCGCACATTATGGCCATAGAAGCATCATGCCGTGTACTTTGAGTTTTCAATTTCAGCTTTTTGCCAGCCGATTTTGTCGGCAGAATGGGCGGTGGAAAATCCACACACAAATGGGACCGGGTCCCTACGAGTTTTGGCTTTCATCTGCCAGATGGGAATAAAAATGTCTCGAA